TGTGTACAGACTAGTAAAAAACAGTCGAATCACATTCAAACACTATGACTAGTCAAATTCCATCAACAGAAAAAAGAAATAACCGGTACCTGGTCTACAGCTGGCATAACAATCACCTCCAGTCAAAGCATGTCTATAGGGAATTCTTTACTCTAAAAAAAAAACAGTCACTTGATTGATTCTGACTGCTGTGATGGTGTCCCTGAATTTGCCAGTGAGAGAGGGAGGGTTTTAATCGTTTGTTCGCCATTACAAATTGGTCAGTCTTTCGTATTAATTTCAGTACTGAGGATTCAGGGTACGGCTTTTTATATCTCAATGCCATGTCACAAAATTCCCATTTCACAACACAATGACAAATCATCACATTCCTAAACTCGATAAACTTTTTAGTTTCTAAACTGTACAAGATGCTGCTAAACCAACTAATTAGGGACATTTACAAATGTACGTACATGTACATACGGTACTACATGTGTACACCACAAGATTATTTCAGTTCATAAATCAACAGTATCATCACTCATCAATGAAGGATGTTCTTCTGCATTGAAAGGTGTTTAACACATGTCATGCTTGAAGTTGTGCAATTAGCAGGCTACTCTGTACATGTAGGTCGCAGCACAAAAGGTCATGCTATCTGTTACTATGTCAATACATTTTAAGGTAATATACATACATGTACAACATTTGCTTTTGCTGTAATTTTCAGAAACGAACAAATATGGGGGTTAGTGTTTTATAGCAAATATTGTCACGCTGACCTGTTGACCTTTTTTGTGTTCATAGATTCTGCAGAAAGAAAACAAGAAAAAAAAAAGTCTGTTCTTGTAGTCTAGTTCCCTGACCCTACTTCAGATGAAACAGAGCAAGTTACGGTATAGACGTCAGGGAAGTGTCAGGTCAGGGAGCCAGTCTAGCTGGCTTGCACCCATTCACGGATGTGTAACCGAATGCAAACAAAATATGGACTAACTAGATTGGGTACAATTGAGGGCAGTAATTGAAAAAAAAAGGCATTTTTTTCCAACGATGGTCGGCTGACCATCGTTTGAAATTGATACAAAAATTCCACTTTTCTTGAAAATGACAGCACACTACATGTAGGTGCCATGATTTCACAGGATGCTTGAGACTATTATTCACCCACAGTCAAGCAAGGTACTTCATAATAATTTGAAACTTTTGTTTTTTGATGTTTGCAAATGTTGTTTATTACCTTTAAGTTTAAGACACTAAGTAGGTCACTTCGGGAACTCTCAGTAAGATACCAAACCTTAACATGTTTGTTGCGTTGTCATGCTCGAGAATAATGTGTGTCAGTGTCTTTCACCCCCACGCCGGAGCAAACTACAGCTGGGTTTTGGCTCTAGACCGTGGTTCGCACCACTTCATCCTGATTATGAGATGCAGTGGTGTGAAGCAACGCAGTCAGGTGCGGTTGTGGTGTGGTTTAGGTCCGTGCAATATACATGTAAACACACAATCTACGGGTACATGTACGCACATGTAAATCTTTACTACAAGTATGGTGAAGTGATTGTGTTGGCACACGGATGGCCATGGGTACATGTACCTACATGTACAATGTACCGGTATCACACGCTTGATCTCAAACAACCACGCTTTACCATTTTGTGATTATGTGAACTATTCGAGTAAATAGTGTTTTTGCCCTTCACAGCTTGCGACAAATAGGCCTACTTCACATAAAATTACAAGCTACATGTAGCTTGGGTGAGACTTGAACCCACGACCTCCTGCTTAATTACTGTCTTATCCACTCAAATACAGAGCTTGCCAGGTCAACTGAATGGTTCGAATCTGACATGTACTGTACGAACACATGCTACAGTAGCAGCGAACACTTTTATCAATATCATAGATTCTTGGATGATGAAAAGGCACAACACATTATTTATTACACATCTCCCCAACACAATATGGAAGATATCATGTAAACTATTTAATGATGTACATGTGGTACATGTATGCACAAATAGTACTGCCCATGCTACCAGTGTTTTTGAATTTCACATGAAAACAGATCTTTCTAGCGATACAAACATAAAGTCACGTTTGAATGAGACATCGTACCGTATACCGGTATGTTCACGTAGTGCATGTTTAACTCTTGTACATGTACATTTAAGTAATCATGGCAACGGACCCATGGCAAGGGGTTTGTCTGCTCGGTTGCCATGGCAGCAATGATGTCATACCTTTGCCCTACCAAACGCGATAGCATCTCTGGAAGTTGGAACGTGTCCAACATAATGTTCTGATCTTGAGAAAACCTAAGAAGAAAAAAAATCAAAAGGCCCTTGGCTTGAGGTGCCTCATTTGACCACACTTGAAAATCTATAAAAAGAGAGATAACTGGAAAAACAGAGTGTGCCACAAAAAGTGCAACATTCAGAAAACAAATAATTAAAACTATTTAATGTTTTATTCTTCAACGAAATTATATACATTTGTATTGCATTAAAGCCTGATTTTTTTTCACTCCTCTCCTTTTTTACCCCATTCCATTTGGTCCCTAGTGAAAGGGTGTACATTTTATTTGGGTCACTCTCAGGCCTGGTCATGCTGAATCTTGGTTAAGCATTGAATAGGCATGGATGGACTGAAGTTGGTGACATCACAGGTGAGATGTGGCCTAAGTAAAATTGACACCCTTTCACTTATTTGATTGTATTTCTGGATCTAGGGATCCAGTGGAATGGGGTAAAAAGGAGTGGATTGAGAAATATTCAGGCTTAAAATGTATAATTTCATTGAAGAACAAAAATATTAAACAGTTTTAATTAGTTTGTTTCTGAATGTTGCACTTTTTTTGCACACTCTGTACACGTACATGTATGTAGCTTGCTCAATGACAATGGACTCTTAGGGGATGAAACCTCTGCCCAATGCAGTCTACTACATGTACATGTACATGTACAAGTACATGTACGGACACATTGTACAGGTATGCGGTACATGTACATGTACATGTATACAGTTCTGTATAATGTACAGTACATGCATGTACCGGTACACATATACTGAAATTTGTATCCTTGTGGAGACATTTTTTTGTTCTCGTGTAGTAAAGTTTTCGAGTTTGAAAGAGTAGTTTCAAAGTGCGTTTATTTTTACCAGAATTAATTTCCTTGGCTGAAATTCGGACTTAATATCCCTTTTCTAAAACTCTTCCATTTGCGACGGATCAACCCACCTTGGAAATTCCTAGTTTTTGAGTAGAATCCACATACATGTATTTGTGAAAACCTTGTGGAGACGTACATGTATTCATCTATAGAAATTGCCCTGTGGAGACGTATACAATCTTTTGTTCCCTATTGTGTGCATGTCTCCAGAGGGCACGGTGTGTCAGATCAGTACCTACATAGGTATGTACACACTGTACATGTACACAATAGCACAGGTTTCTAAGAATAGATTATTCTACCTGTCAGGTGACTGTACATGTACAATGTACAATAATTTATTGCATTCCAACTGTCCTGGAATCCTTTTGCTCCTCCTACCCGGTACTCAAAGTAATTGGGGTTTGTTGCAACTTTCACTTTCTTTCATTTGGTTTGTGTGTACACTACACTATTGAAATGCGATGTATTGTATGCTAACGTATGTATGTGTTCAATGTACAAGTTGCATTTAGATGTGTTCAGTTTTGCTTTGACTATTTAACCAAATGGGAGAAATTGCACCAAAAAAACCCAAACAAAAACACTTAAATTTTCACCAGTTGTGGCATGCAACGTATAGTATAAAGTATTGCTGTAATTTTGTTTACAATTGTGTATTCTAAAAAAAATACAGATCACAGCCCTTGCATATATTCCACTCACAAAAAAAAGGAGAAATGATCTTGGAAATTTGGTCATTTCAAAACAGAATTTGAACAGGAGAATAAAAGTTACAGGCCTGTCCAAGTGCCAGTACATTCAAATCCACTGAACCACTGAACACTGTGTAGACCATCTAATCCAGAAATGCATGCACCTGTGTGCACTGTATGTACACTATACATACATTCATGTGTGAACACTGAACAGTTAACAGTGTACTTTTATATGCCCATGTTAATTCTACATTCCATGTAAACATACTGCACATGTTCATATGTACATGTATCCGTGTGTACATGTATGTAATATTACATGTGTAAACATCCACTGCAGTGTACAACGTTTATGTACACAACCCTGTGCTCCAAAGTTCACACTGAAAAAAGGTGAAACAATTCTAGGTCACAAAAGCAGGGTTACAAACATGCGGTTGTGTAGTACAGATTCACCTCACTGGGATGACTCAATGTACACCTATTGTGCATACATTGTGCACAAGTACATGTACATACATGTACATGTACATGTACGTGTATGGCTTTTCCAGTGTACATTTGTAGCCTTCATACATGTACGTGTGCATGTCCTAGTTAATGTATAATGTACGTGCATACATGTATCGATACAAGAACATGCACAATTTTTCGCACAATTTTCAATGTAATAACAATTTAACTACAAACTTAATTAAAAGATATCAACATGTACATCAGCATGAACTAAACAGGTCTGATAGTTTACTACTATACACCAATTGTCCAGTAATTTGAGTAAACTGCAGAGGCTAGGACAGCACAGCACAGACCTGGTACTTCTGTCAGTGACATTCCATTGCTGGACATGTCCTTGACCCGATAAGTTGAGCCATTCTGCTGGCAGGCCTACATGTATCATGTGCACATGTGTGTACACAAATTCTTGTTCCGTAATTGTGGGGACTTACACTCGTCGCCACGAGGTATTTGTGGGGACCGAAAATGCTGTGGGGACAGCAGAAAGTCCCCATAACTCGGTCCTAATTCAAAATTGCTGCTCAATCCTATAAAGTCCTCCAAAAGTTATTGGCGGATTTTGAAGGCCCTTGGGAGGTTTAGTTCAAAACTGTTAGTAATGTGTGCCAGAGTTAGTTCTACAGCAACTTACCAATATCATTGGCCTCCTGCTCCAACCGCTGACACTCGTCTGCATCGGCAAGTGTTTGTTCTAGAACTAAAGTCAGGAACCGTGCTTGCGTCGGGCTGACCCGTCGTAGCAGTGAATACAGGGCTACTGTCTGTTCGCAATCGTTCCACTCCTTGAACCAAACGGCCAGAGCGTTCACTTGGTCGCGGAATAGGTACGCGGGCTTCATCGTGGCGGTCCAGCGCACTGGGGAAGCCAGCACAGCATTATCTCCAGTTCCAGCGATTGGCAGCCAATAACGTTACCAGTTGGAGGCTTTTCCCGGCTACCACTGATGCAACTCCATGTGCGACGTCCATTACATGTTGCATGTCAAGTCGAGTGGCGATGAATACAATCTATAGACAAAGATAACAACCACGACATGATAACACCAGCATAAATTTACAATGTACATTTCCATAATGTGCAACATTCCATAGTTCACACATGTGCAAATGAGAACTACACAACATACATGTACATGTACCACATGTACACATGTATAAGTACATAAATCAACACCTACTGTACATACATGTATGTATGTACATGTAACATGTATACCAGTACAATGTACTGTACAATGTGTACAATAATTTTTTGTGTACATTGTGCATACATAAATTATACACATGCATGCACTAACCCTGCACTCGAGTGCACAGTTGCATAGTACTGCTTCCAAAAACCAACTTATCAGATCACCAAACCAAGGTGATATTGTACAGTGTTATAAAATTCTGCACACAGAAGTTATGTACTTAGACAAAAAATGTGCAGGTCCATACAGTACCTTCCTAGTCGAAGACAATCTTCAAGTGTTGCAGGATACACAAGCACGGTAGTTTTTAAGACATTTACAACACGATACCGTTGCGGCAACTCTCAATACTAGTCTGGCACGGGTATGCAGTGCACGTACACTTGACAGCATGTAGGGTCACGGCCAATGGATGGATGGATGAACAGTTAATTAATGAACACGAGGCCATCCCATGACAATCCCCGTGACTCCCCAGCTATGCAGGAACTACTGGCAATGAGGAAGTGGTGCATGACCCAACACCCTGTGTTTTTTATTAGTGACAGCCGCAGTGCACTGGCTTGCCAAGCTCATATGATGATAACACTGCATTGCACCACGTCCACGCACAAGCATGTGACTAGCTGGGGCGGTGGACTACACAGAGTCAGGAGTTGTCAAATGAAGACTTCCCTTTCGGTGTCCCCACCTACAAGTCGAATGTACCGGTACATAGTAGATTCTTGGCAAACAGTCACAAGACTTGGTCTTGCGTCAGGTGCATTTCATGGGTGGGGCCCCTAATTCTAAAACTTTAAAGGGGCACCACAGCCACTACAACACAAGGCCAAAAAAATAATCTATGTGTTTAAGGTCACATGGTTAAAATTATGCAGTTACTTTGTTTACTTTCGGATACCTTGAATGGTATTCCGTTTGCATAATTAACATGTTTAAGCCTTACTCCCTAGGCATATTTGCTAGGATGCAACCTCAATCCTGCAAAATCCTCCAACTGCCTCCATGTAAAAATTGCATACAGCCTCAATCCTGCTTAAACAGGTTACAATACATGTACCAGATGTTGTTGTGCACCCTACCATTTACTACTGATTTTAACCAAGCAAATGATCCAATGTACATGTACTTATACCTTTAACCCTTACTTCCTTGGCATTTTTGCCAGGATGCAACATCAATCCTACAAAATCCTCCAACTGCCTCCATGTAAAAATTGCATGCAGCCTCAATTATCCTGTCTTTCTTGAATGAGGCCCTTGGAGGGGTGACCACTGCCTCAATCCTACAAAATCATCCGGCAATCACTGTCAGTATGTTGAGGCAGAGCCAGTGACATCCTGGAGCATTACGGAGGGTTTCAAGTACAATGTAGCCTATGTACATGTAGGCCTAAATGTATGCATAGATGAGAATAAACAACACAAGGTCTGGCCCAAGACCTTGAAACACCTACATGTATATCCTCCAAAATTGCCATATCCTCAATCCTGCAAAATCCTACATTTTGCAAATAGGATTTTGGGGGATTTAGGAAGGTTTGAGTTGCTGGAATTGACCAATGAAATGCAGCGGTTGCCTGATGAATATTTATGAGGTATAGTAATGCTAGAAAGCACACAGGTGCCTATAAAGCACACAGGTGCCTTCTACATCATGTATTTGTACTCAACACCCATGGAATGGGAATTGTTTTTAAGCAACATGCCAAAAAACAAAAATCCAATTAGGTTATTGGACTCACGGAACTTGTTAGCGATGTTTAAAACAGGATTCATAAATACCTCAGACAGTTTAGCCATTCCTATTGGTCGAGAGCCCGTCACGTGGCCGGTATTAAACGGATGATAAAGACATGGCTAGCTGGTCTTAAACACTTTTCCAGTGTCACAATAAAATATGGACTCCTAAAAATCCAGTGCCTCTTATCGTTTCATTGGTTGAACGTTCACAATCCTCACGTAGGCATGCGCAACACTACCAGGGAGTTAGAATTTTATAGTTCTAAATTCAAAACGCAACGCGCCAGGTGCGTTCTGCGCGACATCGCGTAGAACATGATACGCGCGCGTCAATCTCCATAAAAGGGTTGTTTTCATCTTACTCGCCAGCTGAACACTCCATTATTTTGCAGGAGGGATGTTTCAAAAAGCATAAAGTGAATTTGTTGAACAAAATCGCGATGTTTTGAACGAATTATATGATTTTTTTTTACCGAAAAGGTATTTATGAATGGGAATAAATATGTACTCCGTCGGTATTTATCACTCTGTTTAATACCACTTAGAGTCTGGGTGCTGATAATTACCCTCGCCTCCGGCTCGGGTAATTATCAGCACCCAGACTCTAAGTGGTATTAAACAGAGTGATAAAAACCTCCGGAGCACACATTTATTCCCTTAATCATGAGGAATGGCCTGTAAAGTGGGCAGTGCACAAATGTAGCATACCCTGCATTACAACTCATCTATCCACCTCCTAGCCAGCTACAGAGACACGGTTGATTGCCCTCAATAAACCCTCTCAGTGCTACCAGCCTGTGTATGTGTCATGCTCCATTGCACTCCAACCCGGTATCCACGTAGCCACTCTGGGGGAAAACTACTTTCGACTTGGACTTTTTCCATCCAACCCATTCAGTTTGGTCTGTGCTGATTAAAGCCCTTTGAATTTTGTTTTTGAAAGGGAAATAGTGCCCTCATTTTGCCGTGTACTCCTACTTTGTATCCGCATACAGGTACCGGTACATGTAGCCACTCTGTGGGAAACACAATGGACTAAACACTTTTTTTGCATCCTTTCCATTGAATTTATGTTGTCACTGACTCATGTACAAAGGCAGTGACTTTTTTGGGTGTTATTTGCGAGTTACAGGGTATTCTGGACTATGCAATTCCTCCAGCCTCATTCTGTGGCCAAGACACTGGACTCCCTCCATATACTTGGCCACAACAACTCACACGCAAATGTTCGCAAGTACAATATAAGGCCTTTTCACACTATCTCCGTTTCGAACCGTGTTGAAACCAACCCGGATCCAACCCGGTTCAGCCCGAGTAGTTTTCGACACGGATCGGAGAGACGCAATGTTCACACTGTTCTTTCCGGGAACGGCCGCTACGTGAACCGTGTAATGTTCGATCCGGCTACGGCCCCTGTGTATTCACACTACAAATTCTCAACACCGATCGCATTCGGCATGGGGCCCTGTGATGATTTTTTCAATCCAAATGCATTGCGACGCATGAGGCTAACAGACAGGCCGGTGTGCAGCGTGAATTTACTACTCTGTGAAATACGGACTCATTGGTAGTATTGCGCATGCCTAAGTATGATTATTAGGAGAAGGATTTGTCACGTGAGAGGGCTTGACCAATAAAAGAGTAAAGGAATCAGATTTTCATGTGGAGTCCGATTTCCCATATGACACCAGCGAGCAGAAAGCAATATTTCCAAAATGGCTCCGGTCATTTCGTTACCGGTCATTTCGTTACCGGTCATTTCAACTCGGGGCGGTTCACACTATCATTTTCAACACGGTTCACGCCGAAAAATGCAATTTCGATCCGCGTTGAGATTTTCAACCCTGGTCCCTCCCAGGGTTGATTTCGATCCGGCTAGAGCACGCTACCCGGGTCAGAACCGGGTTGAAAGTTTAGAAGTGGGAAAAGGGTTGAAAAAAATCTCGGGGTTGGAACCGGTTCCAACCCGGAGATTTTGGACAGTGTGAAAAGGCCTGTAGTGGCCAAACCTAGCGAGTGCCTTTCAGCTTCCTTATTTGGTATCCGACAGCCAAAAGAACATAGCGCCCCCTGTTGAAAATATAAACCATTAAAAATACAGCAGATAATTGACGAGCGCACACGGGTGCTACGGTGGCCATAGGAAACCGTGAATTCGTTTTGCAAATAGAAGATGTAAAAAGCATCTCTCACATCTTCATGAGAGAGCATGATGGTGTACTATGACTTGTAAAAATACACTGGAATGCCAAAGTGTAATACAACTCAGATTTACGATTGAACACTACAATGTATTTCACTATTCAAGAAACCTCGCCCAACAAATCTTTCACATAATACTTAACTGTACGTTAATTGCAATGTTGATTTGAGGAAACTGTAGTGAGTAAGAAGCTTGCACAGTTTTTTTTTTACGCAGCACTAACTTTTGCAGGATATGGATACCTTAAGTTAACCCTAAATAAGCCGGGTTATTTTGACCAGCTCTCAACTGAAGGGGGCAGATTCCGTGTCCCCCCCCCCCCCCCCCCCCCCCCGGGTTTGGAATTATGGCTAATTAATTATTCATATGTACGAATGGTAATTCTGCTCTGCATGTCTATGTACACTACGTATATTGGAAAATTAAGTTTTCACGGCTCGTAGCGTCAGAAAATCACAAGACACTTTGATTGGTCACCAATCCAGGTGACCAATCAAAGTACCCTGTGATTGGTCTGTCCGATGCTTGCTAGGAAACAGTCTAGCCAGAGCCATGTGCAAGTCTACTTTTCCTGAATTCAAAATGGCAGCCTCAAACAAGGCGTTTGTGACAAGGATGTTTCCTGAATTGAAGGTGAAATTTCTCTTTTCTTCCCAAAGGTACATGTACATGTATGTAAACCTAACCACCACCATTTGTATTTCCAATTCCCACTGAAGCCTACAGAGGCGCATAAGGCAGTTTGAAGACTGTTTTGGGGGTGAAATCTGAAGATTTTGATTGGGGGTACGAGTGAAAATGGTAAAAAAAAATTATTAGTAACGCAATAAGGCTATGTACCTACATGTAGGACTTACTATCGCCCGACCATGTCCAAATGTTAAAAAAGGCGATTCGTAGAGTCCTAGTTACTCGGACTACATTAGGGGGATTATTAAATGTTATGCTTACTTTGTGACTTTATCTAAAATGTCTGTCATTCGTTACGTATCCTCGATCCTCCTATTTCTGTGCAGATATTAGGCTTTGCAACCAAGTACTGAAGTACCGGTAGCTTAAAAATAGCAAAGCAACCACTCTTTTCCTCAACAAAACTTAAACTGATGGCTTACGATCATCCACCATACCGATTAACAAATCAAAATCTCTTCATTTGTGGCAGCAAGAGGGAATTCCAAAGCGTGCAGTTTTGGCGTTGTAGAAAAAATCCTGCAAAATACAAGTTAAACATGAGTGCCTAGAAATAGCATGAGCGCCTAGCATTTACATGATTTAGGTCTGCCGATACGCAACCCTTTTGAAAAAGGCAGTGGATATTTTGCCGGATACGGCAAACCTTTAGTAAATGTTAGCTTGCCGGATATGCACTGAACATGAGCAGTTACTATTTTTATGTACTTAGACATTTTCCGGTGACAAATTTTAGTCTGGCTCCATGCCAACATTATCGTAGTAACTTCATATTCACAAGATGGGAATCAGACGATTTTACAATTTCGGACTTTATTTCCCTTTAAAAAAAATCCTCCAGAGCTGGAGCCACGAATCTGAAAAAGAAAATGTTATACTCTGCAATAAAATTAGCTATTGCACATCTCTTTCAGAACCATGTCATTTGCAATATATTCCTCAAAACGGCGAGAACTGTCTTAAAAACCTGGATAATAATAGTTGCTAAACTTTTTCCAGTACTTGAATGATAAATAAAACCATTCACTACTTAACGTATATTTTGGCTGAAACTGAGGAGACCTTTGTTACCAACATGTCAACAAACACGACTGTCTTTTCATTGCCTCATGCATACACATTTTCTTCCTGGCTTAAACAACGCCACCATGCGGTCACTTTAAGATATT